TATTGTGGAGGTCAATTCCTTCTCTGCCTCTAAAAATGAGAATCCAAGCATAAAACGAGGATATTGAGTATGGCTAATTAATGTATAATTTATTTACGTATATACAAAAACTAGTAAATTCTATCTGTTCTATCAACAGGGAGAGCATGTGGTGATATTAGAAGTGAAATAGACATTGGTGGTGGCTGTCATTGTCGGGGGCTTTTCTCTCTCAGTGTATCAGTGTTGGCATCAAACCCTGATCTGTGTTGCGTGTCTGTCTGTCTTTGTCTCTCTCTCTCAGTATGTCGGTATTGGCATCAAATGCTGGTGTGTATTGTGTCTATTTGAATTTTGGTATATATAGCATTCAGTCGGCTCGAAATGAAAGTTTTAGTTTTTGAGCGGGAGTGACTCTGAGTGGCTATACTATATTGTTCATTTTGTTTTGATTAAAATGGATGTATATGTAGAGCCGATGCACAGAAAATGTATTTACTCAGTCTGTGTTGGGTTGTCAAGAGGTTTGTGTAGAAAATGTAAAAGGCATGAAAGTATTCTGTATATAGTAGTCTTATACTCTTTAATGACAATGTTTAAACTTAATAGACTCCCTTTTGGGATTTCTTCTGTGTCGTTTATTTTCCAGAGAATTATGGAACATTTGATCCAAGCTTTTTTTTGCGGAGGTGGAAATGAGTAATCTTGAAGACAGAACCTTGTTGTTGTGGTTTTTACTGTTGTGGAGGTTACTTCCTTCTCTGCCTCAGCAAATATAAATCCAAACATCAGACAAAAAAGGACAGTGATTATAGGTAAATAAATATAAATAAATGTATAAGTTATTTACAAAAACTAGTAACTTGTTGTTCTTACTAATGCAACACCAAGAGAAAATGGGGAAATTAGAAGTGAAATGGACAATGGTGGTGGTGTATACATCAACCTGATTTGTATTATATCTCACACTCAGTATGTCAGTACTGACATCAAATGCTGGTCTGTTTTGGGTCTCATTGAATTTGGATATATATAGCATTCAGTCAGCTCAAAATTAAGTATTTTTTGAGTGGGAATGACTCTGACTGGTTATAACATATTATTCATTGTGTTTTGGTTAAAGCAGATGTATATATGGAGACAATGTGCTGAAAACATTTAGGCAGTCTGCATTGGGTTGTCAAGTGGTCAATATAGGGTTTGTGTAGAAAATGTTAGAGGCACAACTATATTTTTTATATAGCAGTATATATATATATTTATACTCTTATATCAAGATCTTTTTCTGATTCACAAATACATTTCACCAGACATATCGGCCAGATGTGACCGCTAAGAAAGCAAAACACAAAATAAAAAATAGTTGTTTTCTGTGCAGGGGTTCCGAGTGTCACATAAAATCCACAAAACAAATCAGCGCAAAAATGCTGAACATGAATTTCCACCAAAAAGAAAAGGATATCCCTGGGAACCTATACCAGTTAAACCAAAGATATAAAAAACCAGCATGCCATACTGACGACAAACATTTCGGCATCAAAACTTCAGCCTCATTACATTACTTCTGAACCTATTTCCTGATCCCCACAGTGGCTTCAGCCAACCAACCCAGGAAATCAGTCAACTCCTGGCCCTACACTTACACCTAATTGCTTTCTTTACCGACAGCAGCTAAGGAATCACATATGAACCAGTTTTGCTACCTTTCACGCAACTATGTGCATATTCTGAATTTTGACCAATACACATTGTTAAAATCATAATCATTTTTTGTTCTTCTCCTTTGCAACCAAACGCTCATAAAAAACAACAAGCCTCACCTATCCACTCAGTAAAAACGTATGTACAATGTTATGGCAGAATTTCGGAATAGAGGCTACATCATTATAACAGAATTGATATGCTTCTGTCAGCAAAGATCAAAGAAGATCATATCAGAAACTTGGTGAGAGTATTATAATGTGAGTTGCATTGTATATTACAATAAATTTGTTGAGAAAAAAAAACCTTTATCGTGTTATCAGAGAGGATATTACAATAACATATTCAGTTATCTCACTAGATCTCATAGAGAAAATCTTTGAAAGGAAGATTTGAGTTCGGTGAGAAAAGATGTTGGAGTCAGGGCTGTCTTAAACTGCATAATGGGCTCCCGAGCAAACCAGTGTGCTATGGCCCTTACGACAACCACTCACAGGAATAAAATGTAAATCGTCGATATTAAACATATAGTTATTTTATTGGCACTTCAACATAACTGGTATAAGCATTAAAAAACACGCTGCACATCTTCAACTACTCAACATGATAAACATTTGAACAACACGGCTTGTAAAACAATAATACTCAGTAAGCCACACAGATTAGCACAGTATGAAATTACGATGAACTTATAGAAGCATTTGCAATATTTCTTTTCAGAGAATTACTTTATTATTGACTTGAAGTCAGTGGTCTTCAAAAATAGAATGTCATTTTTCAAGCACATGAGTGAAAGCCAGTTCAAATAATGCTGCTGCTCCATTGTGCTACGAAGCAGATATTTTTCATTACTGGAAAAAGAACGTTCTCCTGTAGAGTTGGTCACCATCATGCACAATTTCAATATTCGGGAATACAGATTTCAAAATTTCCAAAATTATTTTTCTGCAAAGTGCAGGGAGAGTCTAACAATTTTCATCAAGATCCATGTAGTGCTTGAGATGCTCACATTCATTTAAAATGTCATCATAATTCAGGACTTTCATATTAGCCAGTTGTTTAGACTTTTTCTTTAGTACATCGGGAGCATTTCTGAAGAAAGAGATTTTCAATCTGTGAATAAACCTCTGCACGTTTTGACAGTCCAAAGATTAGAGTGTCCAGACTAGAGAGGAAAGTTTCCATCTTGAACTTTTCTGCTGATCCATCATAGTTATTAAAACATACGGTTCGTTTTTGTTCCCGTTTTTCCCCAACACTGTATTTTGTATCTGGACAAATACTCCTGGCTTTGAATTCATATTCACTAAATTTGTCTCGTTTCCTGAAGATAGGTCTTCATAGACTGAAGAACGTACGTGGCAACATCTGTAGCAGACTTAAAAAACGATTGGTCGGAAAATACGTTTTTTTTTCTCCACTCATTTTCGTCGCCACGACCATTTATCTCAAGTAGGTGCGAATTTTAGCTTACAACTACGCCCACACCCTACGTCATCGACAGCCGTCGTAAACATATAAATAGCGCAGAAATTTTCAGTTCAGGAGGGAGAAATCTGCCAGCTACTGAACTTCATATCGGCAGATGGAAGGAAAGCAGTAACTCATCTCTTTTTTCCATTTCTTCAACGACCGTAGCCAAAGAACGAATTCATTGATTCACGACATCACCATGGTAACCATGTCAAGAACTAGGAACAGCCTATATTTAGTGACACAAGTTAAGTACTGTTTCACTGACATTTTTCTTTCTATTTATTATCTCGCAAATGTAATTAAGGAAAAGACATTTTGAACTCTTCATGTAAAGATCATTTTTACCTACATACTCGAACACTAATACCGCACACAGCCGAATCACACACAATCAATACATATCGTCGTTTTTTAATAAATGTTATTTTGGATTTGGCTAAACCGAGTTTTGTATTTGTTTCGAATTGTTGCTTGTAGATGATAAATTTTGTATGTGGCTTCGGTGCTGACCAGGCGTTTGAAGCCTTCAACACATCCTTTGATTGAAAGACAATGCTTGTTTTTTCATTCTTTCTAGCATGTTTTATTTTCTTGTAGCCTGCATATAGAACAGGAACAGCATCAGAATGTAGTGTAAAATAGTGTGTTAAACAGATGCTTGACCACAAAATCCTTTCCTAGAGATAATGTCATTACATTACAGCAATGAGTAAAACCAGCAAAAATCAACACAGATGCTGAACAAAGTCAAAGAATTTTACAGTTTGTAGACAAAATTCTGCTGCTTTTACTCCGATCAAGTTCAAGCTGTGTCCCGTATAGGAGGCATAGATGGCAAACTCACTGAGTTGATGAATCCATGCATGAAATTCAGTATATCGTCCAGATATATTTGAGGCATTATCGTATGACTGACTATGACAGTTTGATAGTGGAATTTTATTCTCATTGAGAAAATCTTTTATTCTCTTGAGAAAATCCATGTTAGACCCTTTGCATCACAAGAAAAGATGGAAATGAACATCAAGAAACGTCCCACTGACTCACAGCCTTTAACGTATTGTACAGTAAATGTCAGTTGATCTGTGTGTGAGATGTCTGGAATGGAACACTTATTGAATAATACTTTAAACTCTTTTACTTCTTCAAGAATAGTACAAAGAACCTGTTTTCCTATTAATTGAAGAAATTTCTCACAAATATTTGCTGATATATATGACAGATTCCCTTTTCCAAGATTTCCATAAATTTTGAGATTGTTCTTCCAAGAAAGGGTCAAATTCACCCAGCAGCTCTAGGGTAGTTGCCATTTTTTGTTGACCCAGTAATTTGATTTTCTGCGTGAATTAGCAAACTTCTGGAGGCAAGAAAGCGAATTACATAAATCACACGTGTCAACACTAGTTTCTTTGTGTTCTTTATGTCTTATCAAATATGATGTCATGCACTTTCGATGTTCTCCATTTTCATATTCCGCAATAACATTGTCGTGCGTCCAGTCACTGAACCCCGATGTAGCAAAGGGAGATACTTTCTTGGACAATAGGCGACATAGAAATCAATACAAACGGCCTTGGGATGGTGAATAAAATAGCCATTCACGTTTTACACACTCACCATTTCGCAGTTCACGTTTGAATACATTGTTTGATAAATACCTTTCATTCATATTCTCTACTCCAGCTGTTTTATACACTGTGCGTATATTTGAAATATTGCTATCATGATTCTGATATTATGAAGGCCCACTAGGAAGCCTACGTGTTAGTATCATTAATGTTTTGTAGTCCTGGATTGCAAACTCCTTTACTGTCACAGATTTGGATATTTCATTTTGTAAAATGTCACCAGCAACAAGAAATGATGGTATGTTTTGTGAAACTGTATGATTTGGAGGAATGGATATGTGGATGGATATCTGAAGGATATGACATTGTGGATGCTGGATCTCTGAAGGAACAGTACTTGTGCCTGACATTGGAGGAGTGGATGCTGATGTGGATGCTGTATCTGAAGGAACAGTACTTGTGCCTGACATTGGAGAGGAGTGGATGCTGATGTGGATGCTGTATCTGAAGGAACAGTACTTGTGGCTGACATTGGAGGAGTGGATGCTGATGTGGATGCTGTATCTGAAAGGAACAGTACTTGTGGCTGACATTGGAGGATGGCTGACATTGAGGAGTGGATGCTGATGTGGATGCTATATCTGAAGGAACAGTACTTGTGGCTGACATTGGAGGGTGGATGCTGATGTGGATGCTGTATCTGAAGGAACAGTACTTGTGGCTGGCATTGGAGGAGTGGATGCTGATGTGGATGCTGTATCTGAAGGAACAGTACTTGTGGCTGGCATTGGAGGAGTGGATGCTGATGTGGATGCTATATCTGAAGGAACAGTACTTGTGGATGGCTGACATTGGAGGAGTGGATGCTGATGTGGATGCTATATCTGAAGGAACAGTACTTGTGGCTGACATTGGAGGTGGATGCTGATGTGGATGCTGTATCTGAAGGAACAGTACTTGTGGCTGACATTGGAGGAGTGGATGCTGATGTGGATGCTGTATCTGAAGGAACAGTACTTGTGGCTGACATTGGAGGAGTGGATGCTGATGTGGATGCTATATCTGAAGGAACAGTACTTGTGGCTGGAGGACATTGGAGGAGTGGATGCTGATGGCATTGGATGCTATATCTGAAGGAACAGTACTTGTGGCTGACATTGGAGGAGTGGATGCTGATGTGGATGCATGTATCTTAGTACTTGTGATGCTGACATTGGAGGAGTGGATGCTGATGTGGATGCTATATCTGAAGGAACAGTACTTGTGGCTGACATTGGAGGAGTGGATGCTGATGTGGATGCTGTATCTGAAGGAACAGTACTTGTGGCTGACATTGGAGGAGTGGATGCTGATGTGGATGCTGTATCTGAAGGAACAGTACTTGTGGCTGACACATTGGAGGAGTGGATGCTGATGTGGATGCTGTATCTGAAGGAACAGTACTTGTGGCTGACATTGGAGGAGTGGATGCTGATGTGGATGCTGTATCTGAAGGAACAGTACTTGTGGCTGACATTGGAGGAGTGGATGCTGATGTGGATGCTATATCTGAAGGAACAGTACTTGTGGCTGACATTGGAGGAGTGGATGCTGATGTGGATGCTATATCTGAAGGAACAGTACTTGTATCTGGCTGACATTGGAGGCATGGATGCTGATGTGGATGCTATATCTGAAGGAACAGTACTTGTGGCTGGACATTGGAGGAGTGGATGCTGATGTGGATGCTATATCTGAAGGAACAGTACTTGTGGCTGACATTGGAGGAGTGGATGCTGATGTGGATGCTGTATCTGAAGGAACAGTACTTGTGGCTGGCATTGGAGGAGTGGATGCTGATGTGGATGTTTATATGGAAGGAACAACTGGCTGACATGGAGGAGTGGATGCTGATGTGGATGCTGTATCTGAAGGAACAGTACTTGTGGCTGACATTGGAGGAGTGGATGCTGATGTGGATGCTATATCTGAAGGAACAGTACTTGTGGCTGACATTGGAGGTGGATGCTGATGTGGATGCTATATCTGGAAGGAACAGTACTTGTATTGACATTCTGAAGGAACAGTACTTGTGGCTGACATTGAGGAGTGGATGCTGATGTGGATGCTGTATCTGAAGGAACATTTGTGGCTGGCATTGGAGGAGTGGATGCTGATGTGGATGCTATATCTGAAGGAAACTTGTGGCTGACATTGGAGGGTGGATGCTGATGTGGATGCTATATCTGAAGGAACAGTACTTGTGGCTGACATTGGAGGGTGGATGCTGATGTGGATGCTATATCTGAAGGAACAGTACTTTGTGGCTGACATTGGAGGAGGTGGATTGATGTGGATGCTATATCTGAAGGAACAGTACTTGTGGCTGACATTGGAGGAGGGATGCTGATGTGGATGCTATATCTGAAGGAACAGTACTTGTGGCTGACATTGGAGGAGTGGATGCTGATGTGGATGCTATCTGAAGGAACATCTGACATTGGAGGAGTGGATGCTGATGTGGATGCTGTATCTGAAGAACAGTACATTGGAGGGTGGATGCTGATGTGGATGCTATATCTGAAGGAACAGTAGTGGCTGACATTGGAGAGGCTGACATTGGATGCTGGATGTGGATGCTATATCTGGAAGGAACAGTACTTGTGGCTGACATTGGAGGGTGGATGCTGATGGATGCTATATCTGAAGGAACAGTACTTGTTGACATTGGAGGAGTGGATGCTGATGTGAAGGAACAGTACTTGTATGACATTGGAGGTGGATCTGTGGATGCTATATCTGAAGGAACAGTACTTGTGGCTGACATTGGAGGAGTGGATGCTGATGTGGATGCTGTATCTGAAGGAACAGTACTTGTGGCTGACATTGGAGATGTGGATGCTATATCTGAAGGAACAGTACTTGTGGGAACATTGGAGGAGTGGATCTGATGTGGATGCTATATCTGAAGGAACAGTACTTGTGGCTGACATTGGAGGAGTGGATGCTGATGTGGATGCTATATCTGAAGAACAGTACTTGTGGCTAATTGAGGAGTGGATGCTGACATTTGAAGGAACAGTACTTCTGATGTGGATGCTATATCTGAAGGAACAGTACTTGTGGCTGACATTGGATGCTGTATATGAAGGAACAGTACTTGTGGCTGACATTGGAGGTGGATGCTGATGTGGATGCTATATCTGAAGGAACAGTACTTGTGGCTGACATTGGAGGAGTGGATGCTGATGTGGATGCTGTATCTGAAGGAACAGTACTTGTGGCTGGCATTGGAGGGAGTGGATGCTGATGTGGATGCTGTATCTGAAGGAACAGATGCTGACATTGGATGTGGATGCTGCTGATGTGGATGGATGATGGATTATATCTGAAGGAACAGTACTTGTGGCTGACATTGGAGGAGTGGATGCTGATGTGGATGCTATATCTGAAGGAACAGTACTTGTGGCTGACATTGAGAGGTGGATGCTGATGTGGATGCTATATCTGAAAGGAACAGTACTTGTGGCTGACATTGGAGGGTGGATGCTGATGTGGATGCTATATCTGAAGGAACAGTACTTGTGGCTGACATTGGAGGAGTGGATGCTGATGTGGATGCTATATCTGAAGGAACAGTACTTGTGGCTGACATTGGAGGGTGGATGCTGATGTGGATGCTATATCTGGAAGGAACAGTACTTGTGGCTGACATTGGAGGATGGATGCTGATGTGGATGCTATATCTGATGGAGGAACAGTACTTGTGGCTGACATTGGAGGAGTGGATGCTGATGTGGATGCTGTATCTGAAGGAACAGTACTTGTGGCTGACATTGGAGGAGGATGCTGATGTGGATGCTGATGTGGATTGCTATATCTGAAGGAACAGTACTTGTGGCTGACATTGGATGGATGCTGATTGTGGATGCTATGTATGGAAGGAACAGTACTTGTGGCTGACATTGGAGGAGTGGATGCTGATGTGGATGCTATATCTGAAGGAACAGTACTTGTGGCTGACATTGGAGGAGTGGATGCTGATGTGGATGCTATATCTGAAGGAACAGTACTTGTGGCTGACATTGGAGGAGTGGATGCTGATGTGGATGCTATATCTGAAGGAACAGATTGACATTGGAGGAGGATGCTGATGTGGATGCTGTAAAACTTTTCATTGGAGGAGTGGATGCTGATGTGGATGCTGTATCTGAAGGAACAGTACTTGTGGCTGACATCAATGCTGATGTGGATTATCTGAAGGAACAGTACTTGTGGCTGACATTGAGGAGTGGATGCTGATGTGGATGCTATATCTGGAACAGTACTTTGGCTGACATTGGAGGAGTGGATGCTGATGTGGATGCTATATCTGGAAGGAACAGTACTTGTGGCTGACATTTGGATGCTGATGTGGATGCTATATCTGAAGGAACAGTACTTGTGGCTGACATTGGAGGAGTGGATGCTGATGGATGCTGTAGAACAGTACTTGTGGCTGGCATTTGGATGCTGATGTGGATGCTATATCTGAAGGAACAGTACTTGTGGTGGCTGAGGAGTGGATGCTGATGTGGATGCTATATCTGGAATTGGATGCTGATGTGGATGCTGTATCTGAAGGAACAGTACTTGTGGCTGACATTGGAGGAGTGGATGCTGATGTGGATGCTATCTGAAGGAACAGTACTTGTGTGGCTGACATTGGAGGAGTGGATGCTGATGTGGATGCTATATCTGAAGGAACAGTACTTGTGGCTGACATTGGAGGAGTGGATGCTGATGTGGATGCTATATCTGAAGGAACAGTACTTGTGGCTGACATTGGAGGAGTGGATGTGGATGCTATATCTGAAGGAACAGTACTTGTGGCTGACATTGGAGGAGTGGATGCTGATGTGGATGCTGTATCTGGAAGGAACAGTACTTGTGGCTGACATTGGAGGAGTGGATGCTGATGTGGAGTATCTGAAGGAACAGTACTTGTGGCTGACATTGGAGGGATGCTGATGTGGATGCTATATCTGAAGGAACAGTACTTGGGGCTGACATTGGAGGAGTGGATGCTGATGTGGATGCTATATCTGAAGGAACAGTACTTGTGGACATTGGATGCTGATGAAGGAACAGTGGATGCTATATCTGATGGCTGTACAGGAAGGAACAGTACTTGTGGCTGGCATTGAGGAGTGGATGCTGATGGATGCTATATCTGGAAGGAACAGTACTTGTGGCTGACATTGGAGGAGTGGATGCTGATGTGGATGCTATATCTGAAGGAACAGTACTTGTGGCTGACATTGGAGGAGTGGATGCTGATGTGGATGCTATAGAAGGAACAGTACTTGTGGCTGACATTGGAGGAGTGGATGCTGATGTGGATGCTATATCTGAAGGAACAGTACTTGTGGCTGACATTGGAGGGAGGATGCTGATGTGGATGCTGTATCTGAACAGTACTTGTGGCTGGCATTGAGGAGTGGATGATGATGGATGCTATATCTGAAGGAACAGTACTTGTGGCTGACATGGATGCTGATGTGGATCTGAAGGAACAGTACTTGTGGCTGACATTTGGATGCTGATGTGGATTATCTGAAGGAACAGTACTTGTGGCTGGCATTGGAGGATGTGGATGCTGATGTGGATTATATCTGAAGGAACAGTACTTGTGGCTGACATTGGATGCTGATGTGGATTTGGAGGAGTGGATGCTATATCTGAAGGAACAGTACTTGTTGACATTGGATGGATGCTGATGTGGATGCTGTATCTGGAAGGAACAGTACTTGTGGCTGACATTGGGGTGGATGCTGATGTGGATGCTATATCTGAAGGAACAGTACTTGTGGCTGACATTGGAATGGATTTGGATGCTATATCTGAAGGAACAGTAATTGTGGCTGGGACATTTGCTGAATGCTGTATCTGAAGGAACAGTACCGAGTGATGATGATGATGATTATCTGAAGGAACAGTACTTGTGGCTGACATTATTGAAGGAACAGTACTTGTGCTGACATTGAGGAGTGGATGCTGATGTGGATGTTATATGGAAGGAAAAAAAACTTGTGTGGCTGACATTGGAGGATGTGGATGCTATATGAAGGAAACAGTACTTGTGGCTGACATTGGAGGAGTGGATGCTGATGGATGAATCTGAAGGAACAGTGTGGCTGACATTGGAGGAGGAGGGATGTGGATGCTGTATGTGGATGATGGTATCTTGTTTTGACATTGGAGGAGTGGACTGATGTGGATGCTATATCTGAAGGAACAGTACTTGCATGACATTGGATGGATGCTGATGTGGATGCTATATCTGAAGGAACAGTGACATTGGAGGAGTGGATGTTGATGTGGCTATATCTGAAGGAACAGTATTGGAGGAGTGGGATGATGCTATATCTGAAGGAACAGATGTGGATGGAGTGGCCGGTGGAGGATGCTGATGTGGGATGCTATATCTGAAGGAACAGTACTTGTGGCTGACATTTGAAGGAAAGGAACAGATGCTTTGGCTGACATTGAGGAGGGATGTGGATGCTATATCTGAAGGAACAGTACTTGTGGCTGACATTGGAGGAGTGGATGCTGATGTGGATGCTGTATCTGAAGGAACAGTAGTACTTGTGGGCCGATGGATGGAACGTGGAGGAGTGGATGCTGATGTGGATGAACTGTATCATTGAGGAAGGAACAGTATGCTTTGGCTGAAGGAACAGTACTTTGGAGGAGTGGATGCTGATGTGATGCTATATCTGAAGGAACAGTACTTGATGCATTGGTAGACAATGAAGGAACAGGATGGCTGACGTACTTGGAGGAGTGGATGATGTGGATGCTATATCTGAAGGAAAGTACTTGTGGCTGACATTGGAGGAGTGGATGCTGATGTGGATGCTGTATCCTGGATTATATCTGAAGGAACATTGAGGAGTGGATGCTGATGTGGATGCTGCATTCGAAGGAACAGTACTTGAATTTTGTGGGAGTACAGGTGACATTGAGGAGTGGATGCTGGCTGACATTTGACATTGGAGGAGTGGATATGATGTGGATGCTATATCTGAAGGAACAGTACTTGTGGCTGACATTTGGACTGTGCTGTATATCTGACTTGTGGCTGGCATTGGAGGAGTGGAATGGTATTGATTGCTGACTATATCTGAAGGGAACAGTACTTGTGTACGGTATTGGAGGAGTGGATGCTTGGGTGGATGGACTGAACAGGAGGCTGGCATTGGAGGAGTGGATGTGGATGCTATTCGTGTAATGACAGGAAGTGGATGGAATTTTGTATTTTCTGGAGGATTGCTGACATTGATGCTGTGGACTCAGTGGAACTTTACTGTGGCATTGGAGGAGTGATGCTGATGTGGAGATTGGCTGGCAGGAGTGGAGGAATGGATTTGTTTGTATCTGAACGTTTCTTGTGGCTGGACAAGAGAGTGGATGGTGATGTGGATGCTGTATCTGAAGGAACAGTATGATTGGCTGTATCTGACATTGTGAGGATGGATAGATGTGGATGACTATATCTGGCTATTCAATGAACAGTACTTGTGGCTGACATTGGAGGAGTGGATGCTGATGTGGATGCTATATCTGAAGGAACAGTACTTGTGGCTGACATTGGAGGAGTGGATATATGTGGAGGCTGTATCTGAAAGTACATATCTGAACAGTGGACTGATGTGGATGCTGAAGGAACAGTACATTGGCATTGGAGGAGTGGATGCTGATGTGGATTGAAGGAACAGATGCTTATCTGAAGGAACAGTGGACTTGATGCTGTATCTGAAGGACATTGGATTGGAGGATGATGCTGATGTGGATGCTATATCTGAGTAGGACATTGGAATGGATGCTTGTGGGCTGAAGGAACAGTACTTTGGCTGACATTGGAGAGTGGATGGGAGTGGATGGCATTGGATGTGGATGCTGATGTGTATCTGAAGGAACAGTACTTGTATTTTGACATTGGAGGAGTGGATGCTGATGTGGATGCTGTATCTGAAGGAACAGTACTTGTGGCTGGCATTGGAGGAGTGGATGCTGATGTGGATGCTATATCTGAAGGAAGTACACAGCTGAATTGGAACAGTGGATGCTATATTGTACTTGTGCTGACATTTGGATGCTGATGTGGATGCTGTATGAAGGGTATGGCTGACATTGGAGGAGGATCTGATGTGGGAGCTATATCTGAAGGAACACATTGGAGGGAGTTTGTGGTACAGTATTGGACATTGGAGTGGATGCTTGTGGATGCTGTATCTGAAGGAACAGTACTTGGAGGAGTGGATGATGTGGATGCTATATCTGAAGGAACAGTATGCTGACATTGGAGGAGGATCTGATGTGATCGAACATGGCTGACATTGGAGGAGTGGATGCTGATGTGGATGCTATCTCTGAAGGAACAGTACTTTACATTGGAGGTGGATGCTGATGTGGATGCTGTATCTGAAGACAGATGTGCTGACATTGGAGGAGTGGATGCTGAGTGGATGCTGCATCTGGAAGGGAACAGTACTTGTGGCTGGACTGGATGCTGATGTGGTAACTTGGCTTACATTTGGATGCTGATGTGGATGCTGTATCTGAAGGAAAATGTGGATCTGAAGGAAAGTATTGTGAAAATGGATGCTAAATCTGAAAACAGTACTTGGATGCCTATATCTACGGAACGTATGACATTGGAGGGAGTGGATGCTGATGTGGATGCTTTCTGAAGGAACAGTACTTGTGGCTGACATTGGAGGAGTGGATGCTGATGTGGACAGTATCTGAAGGAACTTACTTGTGGCTGACATTGAGGAGTGGATGCTGATGTGGATGCTGTATCTGGATTGGAGGAGTGGATGCTGATTGGATGCCATTGAACAGTACTGTGGCTGGCATTGAGGAGTGGATGCTGATGTGGATGCTATATCTGAAGGAACAGTACTTGTGGCTGACATTTGGATGCTGATGTGGATGCTATATCTGAAGGAACAGTACTTTGGCTGACATTGGAGGAGTGGATGCTGATGTGGATGCTGTATCTGAAGGAACAGTACATTGGAGGTGGCTGGTATTGGAGGAGTGGATGCTGATGTGGATGCTGGCATCTGGAAGGAACAGTAACATGGCTGACATTGGGAGGAGTGGATGCTGATGTGGATGCTGTATCTGAAGGGAACAGTACTTGTGGCTGGCATTGAGTGGATGCTGATGTGGATGCTATATCTGAAGGAACAGTACTTGTGGCTGACATTGGAGGAGTGGATGCTGATGTGGATGTATCTGAAGGAAAACAGTACTTGTGGCTACATTGGAGGAGTGGATTGATGTGGATGCTATATCTGAAGGAACAGTCTTGTGGCTGACATTTTGCTGATGTGGATGCTATATCTGAAGGAACAGTATCTGACATTGGAGGAGTGGATGCTGATGTGGATGCTGTATCTGAAGGAACAGTACTTGTGGCTGGCATTTATATGTGGATGCTATATCTGGAAGGAACAGTACTGTATTGTGTGGCTGACATTTGGATGCTGATGTGGATGCTATATCTGAAGGAACAGTACTTGTGGCTGGCATTGGAGGAGTGGATGCTGATGGATGCTGTATCTGAAGCGAACAGTACTTGTGGCTGGCATTGGAGGAGTGGATGCTGATGTGGATGCTATATCTGAAGGAACAGTACTTGTTGGAGGACATTAGTGGATGAGGATGTGGATGCTATATCTGAAGCGAAAACAGTACTTGTGGCTGCATTGAGGAGTGGATGCTGATGTGGATGCTGTATCTGAAGGAACAGTACTTGTGGCTGGCATTGGAGGAGTGGATGCTGATGTGGATGCTATATCTGAAGGAACAGTACTTGTGGCTGACATTGGAGGAGTGGATGCTGATGTGGATGCTATATCTGAAGGAACAGTACTTTTGACATTGGAGGAGTGGATGCTGATGTGGATGCTGTATCTGAAGGAACAGTACTTGTGGCTGACATTGGAGGAGGATGCTGATGTGGATGCTGTATCTGAAGGAACAGTACTTGTGGCTGACATTGGGAGTGGATGCTGATGTGGATGCTGTATTGAAGGAACAGTACTTGTGGCTGGCATTGGAGGAGTGGATGCTGATGTGGATGCTATATCTGAAGGAACAGTACTTGTGGCTGACATTGGAGGAGTGGATGCTGATGTGGATGCTATATCTGAAGGAACAGTAAAGGTGATGCTGATGTGGATGCTATATCTGAAGGAACAGTACTTGTGGCTGACATTGGAGGAGTGGATGATGATGTGGATGCTATATCTGAAGGAACAGTACTTGTGGCTGACATTGCTGATGGAGTGGATGCTTGTGGATGCTGATGTGGATGCTGTATCTGAAGGAACAGTACTTGTGGCTGACATTGGAGGAGTGGATGCTGATGTGGATGCTGTATCTGAAGGAACAGTACTTGTGGCTGGCATTGGAGGAGTGGATGCTGATGTGGATGCTATATCTGAAGGAACAGTACTTGTGGCTGACATTGGAGGTGGATGATGATGTGGATGCTGTATCTGAAGGAACAGTACTTGTGGCTGACATTGGAGGAGTGGATGCTGATGTGGATGCTGTATCTGAAGGAACAGTACTTGTGGCTGACATTGGAGGTGGATGCTGATGTGGATGCTATATCTGAAGTGGATGCTGTGGATCTGATGTGGAGGAAAGGAAAGTACTTGTGGCTGACATTGGAGGAGTGGATGCTGATGTGGATGCTATATCTGAAGGAACAGTACTTGTGGCTGACATTGGAGGAGTGGATGCTGATGTGGATGTGGATGCTATATCTGAAGGAACAGTACTTGTGGCTGGCATTGGAGGAGTGGATGCTGATGTGGATGCTGCTGAAGGAACAGTATGCTGACATTGGAGGTGGATCTGATGTGGATGCTGTATCTGAAGGAATGTACTTCTGACATTGGAGGAGTGGATGCTGATTGGATGCTATATCTGAAGGAACAGTACTTGTGGCTGACATTGGAGGAGTGGATGCTGATGTGGATGTATCAAATTGGAAACTGATGTGGCTGCTATATCTTGAAGGAGTACTTGTGGACATTGGAGAGTGTGGATGCTGGATGCTATATCTGAAGGAACAGTACTTTTGGGCTGACATTGGAGGAGTGGATGCTGATGTGGATGCTGTATCTGAAGGAATACTTGTGGCTGGACATTGGAGGAGTGGACCTGATGTGGATGCTGTATCTGAAGGAAAGTGCTTTGCCTGTGGAGGAGTGGATGCTGATGTGGATGCTATATTGAAGGAACAGTACTTGTGGCTGACATTGGAGGAGTGGATGCTGATGTGGATGCTGTATCTGAAGGAACTTTTTGGCTCATTGGAGGAGTGGATGCTGATGTGGATGCTATATCTGAAGGAACAATTGGATGCATGTATGCTGTATCTGAAGGAACAGTACTTTGGCAGGAGTGGATGCTGATGGATGCTATATCTGAAGGAACATTACATTGGAGGAGGTGGATTGGTGCTGTATCTGAATTGGAGTGGATGCTGATGTGGATGCTATATCTGAAGGAACAGTACTTGTGGCTGACATTTGGATGCTTGTGGATGCTATATCTTAAAGTATTGGCATTGGAGTGGATCTGATGTGGGGCTATATCTGAAGGAACAGTATCCTGGCATTGGTTATGGATGCTGATGTGGATATCTCTGAAGGAACAGTACTTGTGGCTGACAAGAGTGGACTTGTGGATGCTATATCTGAACCTTGGCCTGACATTGGATCTGATGTGGATGCTGTATCTGAAGGGAATGGTTTGAGTGGATGCTGACGTTGCAGGTGGATGCTGAAATTTCTGCTTCCTATTTTGGATGCATTCACGTCTGCTTCCTTAATTTTGCTGGCACGAACAGTTTCATTTCTGCTGAAATGTTTATTCACTTGAAATATATGTTTAAAATATTTAGTATTTAGTCCCTGCATACTAGGCCATCTGGATGTTTTAAATATATATATATATAAGGTTTATATTATATATATAAACATTCAACATTTTTTGCAACATTGGAAATAATGAACATGTCCTTCCTTTAATTGTACGAACAGTTCACAAATTATTATTACCTGTAATGATTACACAATCTGCGGGCAAGACCTATATAAAGCTTAATGGCATAGCTAGAATGTATAAAATAGGCCTACACCACGAATTCAACGGATTTTTTGCACAATTACAGCTTAGCTTATCTTTCATATATTCACAAATTATTGGGTTCTCTTGATTGGGACAACAAAATATAAAAATGAAAATAGTAAATTAAACGACTTTCTGCCAAAGATATTAGCAAGATTTCCATTTACCAAATATTGTGATTTTCCCAATTATATTTGGTAACAAAAATATTGTGACGCCGGCAAGAAGAAAGGAACACAAACATAGATGAAAATGTTTGAAAAAACTTGTATTACAGGAAAGGAGAGTAAAGTTTCAATTGCAAACAGTCGGGTTTGCGGAACTTATCTGAAAGATGCGTCCTTATAACAATTTTATATTTCCTGTGTCGTTTTGGCTGGGTTGAAGAAAATAGAGCCTTGACTTCTGTGCTTCATTTGCTGTCTAAATCCACACACGTGTCCTGGTGTTTAGATGACGGAGAGAACAGACGGGGAACGTGTTGTCTCTGAGGGTACCAACAAGCAAAAGAGGAAGAGAGTTTGTAAAAACCGCTCACGTGGGGGTTTGGTGAAAGTCTAAAAAGGTAGCCTGTGATTGGTTGTTTTTCATCCAATCACAGGGCACCCAGTTAGCGACTCCGTAATAATTTCAATACAAATACACGGATATGGAGAAACAGCCAATAGTAACGAACGACAAACACCGGTATATAATATTAATAGGATTTAATTATACCAAGACAACACATGAAAACATTTCTGCTGGGAAAGATGTGTGCGTTATATATAAGTGATATGAAAAGTCAAAGCAAATACTTAACTTTAGTCCCTCACCTGAAATAAAATAAGTTTTCTCTTTTCCCTTTCCTCTCTCTCTTTATTTTCAGTTCAATCCTTTCCGCTTCTTGTGGTGATATCTTTCAATCTGTTAATCTTTCTTCACCGTTATAAGTCTTGACTCCAAGTATTCAGCAAAGTGGAATTCATGACTGACATAATGCTGAATCCTGCCTAACCAAATGTAAACTATAATCCTCATTATTCTTTTCTCACGGTACCATACGCTTAATATAACAGTTCCAACTCATGAATACACCAGGCCGCATACATAAAATGTACTGCTGAATTACTAAGCGTGATAACCATCTACAACATGCGTGTGTGATCCAACGTTTATTATCGCTAGAGATTTCAGGAATAGCGATCGGATGTATATGCGGAGTGCCGGGAGTTTTGCCATTTCTTGTGACGGCGTGGCCGAGGTCACAAGATACGGTTGGTGCACGTTCGGTCAATGGAAGTCACGGTTGTAGGTCATCATGTTGGTCGGTTGACCTGTTGTATTGAAACAGGGTTGACGTCGAATTGGTGTAGTCTTGGTGGCCGTGTTCTGTGGAGCGTATGTCACTGGGGTCAGAACGAGTCGAGGTAGGCCGAGGTAATGGCAGGTGTTGGGCTTGGCCAAGTTCTGTGGAATGGAGGTTGTTGCGTCGACATTTCAGACGGCGTATTGAAGCGGGCAGTGGGGTCGGTATCTCCCTCCACCCTCCACGTTGCAGTCACGAAATGAACATGTCTACATTGTTCGACGATTAAAACTCGATTCCCCGAAATCCCTTTTTATACCTCTGTCATTCCCACGCTGGTTCAACCAATCAAAATCGACTTCCTTTATTTTGTCTTGTATCTGACCCCAAAAGTTAGACCCAGGGGTCCGAGCAGAGTTACACGTCTCTAAAAACATCATAGTCTGCTAAACTATTATTTAACATTCCCTACCTCATCATTAGGAGGCACGGTGGAGTAATGGATAACAGCTCAGATTGAAGAATCGGAGAGCCGAGTTCGAATTTCAGTCGAATCCATTACATTCAATTACGTGCTAATACCCGTATGAATCCTTGTCTTCTCCCCCCCCAAATCTATGGGTAAATAGTAGGACAGGCCGGGTTCTATAGCCTTGGATGGTAACTGGTCTACTGCAGAAAGAAATGGTAACCCACCGCGGGAGAAAATCTGCCTCGCCAGTCATGTATTGAAAGATACATAATCGTCTAAGCGTGTATACATGACTACCTCATCATTAAAAAATTAATTTATGAATTTTATTTCAACTATATTACTCTAAAATCTTCTCTACTCTTTCGTGTCTGCAAAGTATGCTCCTTACATTTGTCCTTCATTGAGCCTCGTCACATGACCCAAGCGGCATGCCCATATAACATTCCTGAAAAAGAATGACATAAAACTCTGACCAATTTTTTTTTCATGCTTCACAAACATTTTTTTTTTTTTTTTAAAGAAAAGTAGAATACCGGACAGGCCATTCTTGGTTACTAGCTTCCCTGACCCAAGGTCAACGCATCAGACGCCAGTCTGGATACAAGTCACTCCAACAGTGAACTTTGATGTCTCCAAAGTCTCATCTATCCAGGTCAGCAGGTGCCACCTCTGAAATCTAATATGCCTGTGGAGAACAAAACTTCTTGTCTCTTCACTTGAGACTACAAGAAATGTACATAACAATTCACAGAAAAAAAAAACAATGATCGAAAAATCACACAATTCATACCAAATATCCCACACCAAAGCGTCAACTTGTTCCATAGTTGAACCACATGCTTGCCACTTAAATTTTACACTTTAAATATACTGTGATCTAAACTTATTCCCTACTCACAGTGACACAGCACACACAGTCCATAATCACTCTATTTATTCAACTACAACAAATTACATACTTATTACCAGATTTACTTGAACAAATCTTCACAAATTTACCACCATTAATTTTCTATAATTACTCTTATTAACCATCTGCTTCTGTGTGCCAAAACTTTACTTGCGCCATTTCAAGTTCTTCTACCCCTGGATGTCCCCACGGGGAAACAACCACACCCGCTCAGTACCTCCTAACTAATCCATTACTGGCTCTATCGTGGTTACAAGGGTTTTATTTCCTTAGCCTGATATCCCACAAGCCACTTGACCATTTCCATAACTGGTCGTCAGGGCCCTTCCTTGACCACGGGAGTATCTTGGGGGATATATACATTCGACACTGAATACTTCATAGGATAAAGCTCTACCCACCATTTTTCCCCTGTCTACAGAGTCAGGTGTATCAATTTTCTCCCGCCCAGCATACAAACTCAACACATTCAGAAATACGAAATTATGCAAGCCGAATCTACTTAATTCCACAACCAATTAACTTAATTTTTCCACAAAAATGAATTCTCAAAATTGACCAATTAACAATTCTTCAACCAATGAAGGCAAAAGGATGCTCTTAAATTAAAAATTAAAAAATTCCACATTCTGTTAAAAAAAAAAAATGAACAAAACAATTATCAGTTAATTACGATTAAAAAATAATTCTAAACTTTTAAAGATTTGAATGTATGCAAAACTTTTGTCAAAAAAAATTTCATCTCATTAACAGTACACAGAAATCACAATGGAAATGCCCCACCATAAAATTCTGTCATCTTTCTTATTTCAAAACAATTTTCCATTGTGTTACGTATGCAAATTCAGGCCTCCACGTGGCCACACACAGCCAGACATACATTTGGATGCACATGAAAATATTAGATCAACAATAGATTTCCGCACATGGTTCTGAACTTTTGCAAAAAGACAAAAAACAAAACAACAAAAATTAGTCTCTCACTAAAATGCTTCATCAAAATTGACATTGTCGCACCAGTGTGTATGCGTAAATGTGGGTATTCCCTGTATCCTCTTTTTTTTTTATATACATGGCATATAACACCACTAAAGCAAAAGGAAAATCATTTAGTTATTGAAGTAATGGTTAAATTTACTTTTACTTTTGATACTTGAAGCTAATAATGATATAAGTTATCTGAAACAACACCAAACAGTATGCAGACTTAACATGAAACCCTGACACTTATATTTAAAAAAAAAAACCAATGCAATCAAGGGGCATAATTCAATCTTTGCATTTTATTTTTGACAAAAATAACATAAAATCTGAATATAAAATTCTTCAAATGCATCTTTATTTTATATCAAGTTTTTCATCAATGCACAAGACCTGAAAGATTTTAGAATTATCTTGTAAAAATCTATATAAATCTTTCAGGAACAAATAAATTTCAGATATTTAGTGTTTCTGTAAAAAACAAAATACATACAGTTTGGCCAAATTAAAGAAAGAATAAAACAGTCTAACAGTTTAAGAAACTTTAGTTGGGACACACTGAATTTCCCGGTGACATACCCAAATCACCACCTGTGGGTCCCAGAGGCTCACCATGTTAAAAGCCTATCAGATTTGGTTTGGTTTGCTGGTAATAATTTTTTTCAAAAAAGTATTGCTGGAAATAGTTAACTATTTGCCCATAGCTCGGACCCTAACAGATGCTACCACCCCGGGTCAGGGTGGACCTGGGAACACCAGCAATTAATATGCATTCCACGCTCCTCAAAACCTGCTGATCAGAGGCCTTGCTGCTGAACATAGTTTAATGTCTTACCCAGGACGTCGATGATGTTTAACATCTCACACAGGACACACACCTATCAGGGTTAATGAAGAAACAATATATATGCAAGTAAAAACTAACAATGCAAAAAGTTTAGAATGTAAGAATGACGTTCACATGCAAAAGGGATACAGTCAAGTGATTGTAACACTCTGACATCAAGACAAGAAAGAACAACAATATGGTGGATGTGATCAAGAAGTGGCTCATTTTTATTAGTTATAAAAACATCCCAGCATGCATCTATAGAATTTTTCTATAAATTTGGACAGGATGTTTTCAGCAGACATTCCTACAACTATTGGAACCCAGTAATTTAATATTTCCAATAAGCAAAATAATTTGGTACATTTTAGATCAAATTTAAAGTGATTGGAATTTTTTTACTTTTTACTACCAGTAAAATTTACAAATTCAACAACATGGACAGATCTGATAATATCAAATAATTTCCTTTATTACAAAATCCTTCAAAAATAAAATATACTTTTCCCAAACTTGAATTTAGAAAAATTAGTTGATTTAAAATTAAATTAATCTGCACTGAAACAATTATTACTTTCTTTTACTGTAAAACTTTGCAGAAAACATTTTGTTAGTGACTTTCGAATAGATGTATTCACACACAACTCAGCAGTGTGTATTTGCTTGTGTTGGATTTATATATGTCAACAGTGGAAATGTAGACCTCAGCAAAACACAAATATGATTTCTTTTTATATATATATATATATATATATATATATATATGCATTTGAACAATGTAAATTTCACAAAAACAATGTTTCTCTCTAGTAGAGATTTGAACATGATGAAGTACATTTGATTTTCTGCAAATTGAAATCTAAAAAATATGCATAAACGTTTTCTATCCTGTGTGTGTCCAAATATAACAGTCCAAAGATGACTTCAATAGAATTACAAATCCACACACTTCATAAGAATATGATTTCTCGCAAATGTGTGTTCACATTCGAATATGATATACATGAAAATACATCTGTAAAAACTTCACAAGTATGTGGTATATCACCAGTCTGCATATGGAATTTCAAACTCAACTGAGATGAAAATGCATATTTACATGCTTCATATGTGGCTTTTGTGAAGATGCAGATTAACAAATTTCACAAGAATATAGCTACTCTCAAAGTGTGCACTCACATATCAAGCTTCAAATAGAACTGATATGAAAATGTAGATGCACAAACTACAATAGAATGTGGTTTCTCTCCAGTGAGTGTTTGCATATGGGACTTCAAATGTCACCACTGTGAAAATGCAGATCCACAAATTCCACAAGAATATGGTTACTCTCCAGTGTGTGTTCGCATATGGTGCTTCAGAATGGCCTTTGCTGAAAATGCAGATCCGCAAACTTTGCAAGAATGTGGTTTCTCACCAGTGTGTGTTTGTATATGGAATTTCAAATGCGACTTCTGTGAAAATGCAGATCCACAAATTTCACAAGAATATGGTTTCTCCCCAGTGTGAGTTCGCATATGGCATACCAGAGTTGACATCACTGAAAATGCACATCCACAAACTTCACAAGAATATGGCTTCTTTCCAGTGTGTGTTCGCATATG